GCCGGCATCTCTGTCCGTAAAACACCGCTGCGTCAGGGATTGCCTTTTCCGGACCCTTCCCGGAAGGCTCCTTCAGACCTGGGGGGGTAGCAGCGACGCCTCTACCCCGCCCACGGTCCCTCCATCCGTCCGTAGCGTGGGTTAAACCGCTGGGACGCCAGCCTTTAGCCCCGCTACAGGCCACGGGGATCAAGCACAGGGGGAATCCAAATTCCAAACCTGACCTGAGCACACCTCTAGGGTGCTGGCTCGCTAATCTGGCTAAATGCTGGGCCTGGTCTCAGTATGAAAACGGGACCCTGACTTTACTGTCACACCGATCAGAGTAATTTCTGCCAGCGAACTGGGAAATTTGCCCAAGTCTCTCTCTCTCAGTCTCTCTCAGCCTCTCTCCATCTCTGTGTTCCCCGTCCCTCCCCCAAAGTTCCTTCTGCCATCTCTCCTCGCTCTGCCCTTCCTCCTCCCTCTGGGCTGTCCCTGCGCTTCCGCGCCACCGGGCACCGCTGAGCCCGCGGTGTCTTTATTTGATAAAGCTTCCCATGTGATTTCAAGTATAGTAGATCAACCTAATTTGGTTTAAAAATATTTCTCTTAAGAAGAGAGAATAAATCCTTGAATCATTTCAGAGCTCTTGGAATGTCCCAAAAGAAGTCATATCTCAGTTAAAGTCTTGAAATATAACTTGGAAAGACCATCATATATATATATATATCTCCCAAAGATTATATTATATACTTTTTGTAATTATTCTAAAATACATCAAATAAATTTAAACTGGTTTTTGAAAGGGCGAGGGCTATGCCCTCCATCCTACCCCGGATCCTCCATGTTGGGGCAGTCGCCATGTGCTCATGAAAGTACCTTCTTCCGGGAAGCCGCTCCACCGGAGAACTCCCCTGAATTCCCCTAGCAAAAGCCGCCGCTCTCCCACCAGCCTCGTGCCCCTATGATTTCTTTAAACTAACCAATGACAATCAAGGGACGTGCGCGCCATAGAGATGACCACATCCTGTGTAACAAGACCCAACTTGCGCCTGGCCAATCGGTAGGGCCCACAGTCATCTCCCCTCCCCTCACTCCACCCCACTATTGTTAGGCCAGAGAGAGCCCAGGATTGGATACATGCAGACATGTGACAAGATAATGGACTTCCCCTGGAATTTCTCACAGATCAAGGTGCCAGACACAGATACAGACTTCTTCTCCCTTAATCCAGATACCGCCCTTTCCCCGTTCAGCTGCCGTGCAGTCGGTCCCTCCGCCGCACCGCCGCACCGCCGCACTGCTGCACCTCCGCACCGCCGCCGCAGCTGCTAACGCCGTAGCTGCTCCGGAAGCCGGCAGCTCAAGTCCCCTGCCGCCCCCGCCCCTGCCTGCTTTCCCAGTTGGTACACACACGCGTCCTTAGGCTCTACCTTCCTTCTGTCCTTCCTCCATCCTTCTGCCCCTGGGAGGATGCTGCT